GGAGATATCCATGTCAGGAAACAGCCAATCTGAGCCTGGTGTGGCAACTTGACACTCTGTCAGAGATAAGAGACATAAAGGTTGCCACGGCCAGCATCACCCCCACCATCTTGTTCCACTGTCAATACAGCTGTACAAGCAGCAGGTTGTCTTGTCTGCCATGGACATAGAGTAGTCAAGATGACTTGTTCTGATTTGTACTGAGTGAGCTGATCCCAGTGCTTTGAGAACAAGGTAGTCCTGCACCATGACCGTGGAATATATTTATTTTATGAAGAAAAAAAAATCTAGAAATGCATACAAAAGCAAGTCTAGCCAGCTCAAGCTAGCTCTATCTGAAATCAGCATAGGGATTTTTTTTTCATTTTTAGAATCAAGAAGGATATTGTGTAATATAAGATCATTTCAGAGACTAAATGTAAGTCTAAGAGCAAGGGGGCTTTACACAATAGCCATCTTCCCGAGGCAAGCAATCACAGAGTCATGTTATGGCTGGACTAACGAGTCTTTGCACAGTCCAATCACAATTGTCTCTGGAATATGCACAATAGCAGTGTGTGATTCAACCCACTTGCCTGAAGAAGAAGCTTAGTAAAATGTCCTTCTGTCAAGTAATCCAAGCTCACATTAGACCATGTATTGACACTTAATGCTGTTAAATGTCACAATACTTTGAAAAATAGGATGAGTGAATGAGTGTAATGCCACTTGGACACTATTCAGTAATATCACAGTGTAGTAAGAACACGCACAAACTACAGGGTGTCCCGCCTACCCCAAACATGCCATTTATGTCTTATTGATACCATTCATGAATTATATGGTGAACCTAACTAAACACACACAGTATTTGATAAATGGCCTTTTCAGTACATTGAATATTTTACGGGAGCTTCAGGCAATGTGTATCAGATGTCTTGCACAGCATCCTGAACCAGGAGAGATGCCTCGCATGGCAAACTGGGTAGTCAAGGTCCAGGACAAATGGACAGTTAATATAAAAATATAACATGCTTTAGCATTTTGTCTCTTAAGGAAGGGTCGTGTCCAAGGACATTGGGAGGGTCATTTTTCTGAGGCAAGGGAGTTAACGGACATTTTTGCTGGACTAATGAGTCTAATAGTCTATGCATAGTCAATGAAAATCGTGCAACAAACTAGGCACCTGGTTCGTAAACATGCAGAAATCCATCGACAGCGGGATTTGCAAAGTATTTGTACTGTCAACTGGGCATCGACACATGTATTCCAAATCTTTTCATACACTGCACAAGGTGAGACCCATTTTATCACAATATAGATCTTGATTATCAATCAGATCATCTTGACTGGATACCCCCATTTTGTTTGAAACCAATGCAAGTGATAGGAGGGACACAGAAGGACATAACTCGTAAATGCCAGCGGTAATGCTACAATTGATCCACAAAATTCCAGCCTAGTTCGGCAAGGGTGGAAACTGGACTTTTGTAGACAGTTAACACCCTTGCCTCAGGAAGATGAGCGAGGGTCATCTACATTATGTACATTTGTGCACCCAAAACCTCTGACATCCCCCTATAACAAATGGCCGGTCACTTACTGATAAATTCTGTCAATTTTGTTCCAGTTAAACAAAACAAATAGGCTATCATTTCAAGCTGCCAGTCAGACCACCTTGGCTATAGAATAACTGGTCCTGGATAGTGACTGTCATTTGTGTAGCCTGCTGCAGGATAAATACCATGTACTCAGGGCTGTAGGGATACACAGTCACCATGGGATCCACACCTTGATGGCAAGGGAATGATAAGATACATGATACGGTAGATGGTACGATACATGATACGAAAGATGATACATTACACGATACATCAAAACTCAACACAAGCCACGCTACAAGACAGAGTCCATCATCCAAATGAAAAGAACCCTGATGAGAACATATTCAGTAGTTTTGAGCATAATAATCACCATGATGAAGTGGCTTGAGACATTTCAATACACTTGTAGTGACTTGTATCGATACATGACCACACTTATCCATACCTGTACAGTGCCACACAGCGTTATGGTCACAGAGCCCTCGAAATTGTATCGATACACCAACTTGTAATACAGAGAACCATCTGATCACTCACCAAGTTAAGTAGAGTGCCGCTGGATCCCTCAAACACCAGCGACATGTTACAGAACATCACTCACCAGGTTCAGTAGAGTGCCACTAGATCCCTCAAACACCAGCGACATGTTACAGGACATCACTCACCAGGTTAAGTAGAGTGCCGCTGGATCCCTCAAACAACAGCGACATGTTACAGAACATCACTCACCAGGTTCATTAGAGTGCCACTAGATCCCTCAAACACCAGCGACATGTTACAGGACATCACTCACCAGGTTCAGTAGAGTGCCGCTGGATCCCTCAAACACCAGCGACATGTTACAGAACATCACTCACCAGGTTCATTAGAGTGCCACTAGATCCCTCAAACACCAGCGACATGCTACAGAACATCACTCACCAGGTTCAGTAGGGTGCCACTAGATCCCTCAAACACCAGCGACATGTTACAGGACATCACTCACCAGGTTCAGTAGAGTGCCGCTGGATCCCTCAAACAACAGCGACATGTTACAGAACAACACTCACCAGGTTCAGTAGAGTGCCACTAGATCCCTCAAACACCAGCGACATGCTACAGAACATCACTCACCAGGTTCAGTAGGGTGCCACTAGATCCCTCAAACACCAGCGACATGTTACAGGACATCACTCACCAGGTTCAGTAGAGTGCCGCTGGATCCCTCAAACACCAGCGACATGCTACAGAACATCACTCACCAGGTTCAGTAGAGTGCCGCTGGATCCCTCAAACAACAGCGACATGTTACAGAACATCACTCACCAGGTTAAGTAGGGTGCCACTAGATCCCTCAAACACCAGCGACATGTTACAGAACATCACTCACCAGGTTAAGTAGAGTGCCACTAGATCCCTCAAACACCAGCGACATGCTACAGAACAACACTCACCAGGTTCAGTAGAGTGCCACTAGATCCCTCAAACACCAGCGACATGTTACAGAACATCACTCACCAGGTTCAGTAGGGTGCCACTAGATCCCTCAAACACCAGCGACATGTTACAGAACATCACTCACCAGGTTCAGTAGAGTGCCACTAGATCCCTCAAACACCAGCGACATGCTACAGAACAACACTCACCAGGTTCAGTAGAGTGCCACTAGATCCCTCAAACACCAGCGACATGTTACAGAACATCACTCACCAGGTTCAGTAGAGTGCCACTAGATCCCTCAAACACCAGCGACATGCTACAGAACAACACTCACCAGGTTCAGTAGAGTGCCGCTAGATCCCTCAAACACCAGCGACATGTTACAGAACATCACTCACCAGGTTCAGTAGAGTGCCACTAGATCCCTCAAACACCAGCAACATGTTACAGAACATCACTCACCAGGTTCAGTAGAGTGCCGCTGGATCCCTCAAACACCAGCGACATGTTACAGAACATCACTCACCAGGTTCAGTAGAGTGCCACTAGATCCCTCAAACACCAGCAACATGTTACAGAACATCACTCACCAGGTTCAGTAGAGTGCCACTAGATCCCTCAAACATCAGCAACATGTTACAGAACATCACTCACCAGGTTAAGTAGAGTGCCGCTGGATCCCTCAAACACCAGCGACATGCTACAGAACATCACTCACCAGGTTCAGTAGAGTGCCACTAGATCCCTCAAACATCAGCAACATGTTACAGAACAACACTCACCAGGTTCAGTAGAGTGCCACTAGATCCCTCAAACATCAGCAACATGTTACAGAACATCACTCACCAGGTTAAGTAGAGTGCCGCTTGATCCCTCAAACACCAGCAACATGTTACAGAACATCACTCACCAGGTTCAGTAGAGTGCCGCTGGATCCCTCAAACACCAGCGACATGCTACAGAACATCACTCACCAGGTTCAGTAGAGTGCCGCTGGATCCCTCAAACACCAGCGACATGTTACAGAACATCACTCACCAGGTTCAGTAGAGTGCCGCTAGATCCCTCAAACACCAGCGACATGTTACAGAACATCACTCACCAGGTTCAGTAGAGTGCCACTAGATCCCTCAAACACCAGCAACATGTTACAGAACATCACTCACCAGGTTCAGTAGAGTGCCACTAGATCCCTCAAACAACAGCGACATGTTACAGAACAACACTCACCAGGTTCAGTAGAGTGCCACTAGATCCCTCAAACACCAGCGACATGTTACAGAACATCACTCACCAGGTTCAGTAGAGTGCCGCTGGATCCCTCAAACACCAGCGACATGTTACAGAACATCACTCACCAGGTTCAGTAGAGTGCCACTAGATCCCTCAAACACCAGCGACATGTTACAGAACATCACTCACCAGGTTCAGTAGAGTGCCGCTGGATCCCTCAAACAACAGCGACATGTTACAGAACATCACTCACCAGGTTCAGTAGAGTGCCGCTGGATCCCTCAAACACCAGCGACATGTTACAGAACATCACTCACCAGGTTCAGTAGAGTGCCGCTGGATCCCTCAAACACCAGCGACATGCTACAGAACAACACTCACCAGGTTCAGTAGAGTGCCACTAGATCCCTCAAACAACAGCGACATGTTACAGAACATCACTCACCAGGTTCAGTAGAGTGCCACTAGATCCCTCAAACACCAGCGACATGTTACAGAACATCACTCACCAGATTCAGTAGAGTGCCGCTAGATCCCTCAAACACCAGCGACATGTTACAGAACATCACTCACCAGGTTCAGTAGAGTGCCACTAGATCCCTCAAACACCAGCGACATGTTACAGAACAACACTCACCAGGTTCAGTAGAGTGCCACTAGATCCCTCAAACAACAGCGACATGTTACAGAACATCACTCACCAGGTTCAGTAGAGTGCCACTAGATCCCTCAAACAACAGCGACATGTTACAGAACATCACTCACCAGGTTCAGTAGAGTGCCGCTAGATCCCTCAAACACCAGCGACATGTTACAGAACATCACACTCCAACTGAGCGTCATCTGCCACTCCCGGTTCTTGTCATACAGAGGGTGGACGACGTCCGGCAGTCGGAGCACCATGTCACCAAACATGGCCGTGTTCTCGTAGATCTTTGACACAGCTGAGGACAGAAACTACTTTGCTACATCCATGTATGCTGTAAAAGGCGACTGTGCTTGACATAAGAGTAGACTAAGGGATCGAGTGGTTAGGCTCGCTGACAAGGTTGACGCATGTCATCGTATCCCAAATGTGTGGATCGATGCTCATGATATCAATCACTGGATTGTCTGGTCCAGATTCAATTATTTACAGGCTGCTGTCATAAAGTTGGAATATTGCTGAGAGCGGCGTTAAACAACAAACAAACAAACAACATCCATGTATAGCTGCAACAATTCTGTGAAGGACCTTACTACCACAAGACAAATGTTGTATAGTAAAGTGGAAAAAAACAAACATCCATGTACGCAGTTTTTTAACTTCACAAGAGCCTGAGACTACTATGAGTGCGGAGGACAAGTAGAAACCTAATGATGGTTGTCCTCAATGACTAAAAACACTAATTCTGAACCAGTTCTCCATGCAAAATAACACTGCTCAGCTAGGTCCCAGGTACCTACGGGACACGTATCTAATACCTTGATATCATGCTAGGTCCCGGGTACCTACAGGACACGTATCTAATACCTTGATATCACGCTAGGTCCCGGGTACCTACAGGACACGTATCTAATACCTTGATATCATGCTAGGTCCCGGGTACCTACAGGACATGTATCTAATACCTTGATATCACGCTAGGTCCCGGGTACCTACAGGACACGTATCTAATACCTTGATATCATGCTAGGTCCCGGGTACCTACAGGACACGTATCTAATACCTTGATATCACGCTAGGTCCTGGGTACCTACAGGACACATATCTAATACCTTGATATCACGCTAGGTCCCGGGTACCTACAGGACACGTATCTAATACCTTGATATCACGCTAGGTCCCGGGTACCTACGGGACACATATCTAATACCTTGATATCACGCTAGGTCCCGGGTACCTACAGGACACGTATCTAATACCTTGGTATCATGCTAAATCCATGGAACCAGTGACAAATGTACTTCAGTGAACTGGACAAACACATTGAACATGCATACTAGACAATATGATTCACATCATATATCTTTATTTATTAAATTTCTTCTTGTTTCCACACCTATATTCCAAAAGGCACACCGAAATGTCTTTAGGAAACAGCAGTAATAGTGTATGGGACTCACAGTGCCTATTAGAGGAATAACAGGATTCCAAACAAAGTGCCCCTGTCAGATAACTTGGGATAAAAACATTATTTTGTTCAAAATCAGATTTTTATTGTTTTTGTTTTCTTAAAGTTAAAGGGATTTTTATTTGTCAAAGGGACCCTGAAACAAACATATTAAAAAAAAGCCCATGCAAGTCTATATTACTGCAGTATCTGAAAATGAAGAGTCTCTAGGTTCCTTTTTATTACATTTGTGTATATCTTTATAAAGATATTTTAACAATTGTTTTTTTTCTGCAAGATATGTTCATTTCAGAGACTAGATGTTAGTCTAAGGTATTTTATGAGTATTTCAAGATTGGTTTTAGCAGTGCATTCAATGCAATAATGTAAAACTCTGCATTGAAGCCTCTCCCTAGTCGACTACCAAACTATGTGAACATGAATTGGGAATTTTTACTGATATTAATTTTGTTGCAGACATGGGCCCAATATCAACCTTTGAGCAGGTCTTGATAAACCCCAGTATTATTTACATCCATTTCAAATTTATTTCGGCACACTGAAAGCAGTAAGAGTTGTCCGTACTTACATTCCTGCTTGGATTCCTCGTCTGGGAAAGGGTCGCCCGGCAGCACCCCCCACTCCGTGATGTTCACCCTCGCCTGTGCCAGAGTCTAGGGGACAGATGCAACACTAGACATAGATGGACAGTGGACAATACTGTTTGTTAACCACAGTCAGCAATATTGCAGCTATATCACAGCAGCTGGTACAGGCCTCAAAGTTGCAACTAATTTGGTCACTATGACGACTGAAATTTCCACTTGGCAACCAACATTGTTTAAGCAGTCGTCAATTGGCTACTTGATAAAAATTAAGCCAGCATCCTGATATTACTAACTGCATAGTACAGAAATACAATACATTAATAAATACTGATCGACCGAACTATAATTTTACTTCAAAAAGTCAAAACATCAACGAGGGAATTGTAAGGTAAATATCAATCGATAATCTCATCAAGTATTTATAATGTGAATAACAACAAAGCCAAATGTAGGACTTGGTATTGCTGCTGTCAGGCAGATAAGATAAGCTTTCACAGTATTATACCGTAATATAAATTACTAACAATAATCTTGAAGTTTTGATCCTTCATGGCAATGTCACAGTCCACAATAATGTCATAGCTAAAGTAAGTTCCCTGAAGGGTACAGAGAAACCATATTTGGTTACCAAAACTACTTTGTGAATGAGTTGTGATAATGTTGTTTTTTTCTGCAAAGCCAGTGATAAATGTACATATGCACAGGTAAAGTGAACAAGCACGTTAATAGTCATGACAACCATAGGACCATACTTGATGCACAATATGATCCACCAAATCCGGGAATTCAGAAATAAAAAAGGGTACATATGTTATATGGTCTCTGGTATGAACAAATACAATGAAATAGGATGGGGCAAACTTTCAAAATTACAACCACTTAGTATTAATTGATCAGCTCTTTTCACAAATTCTGCATTGTTTACTGTTATGGGGACATATTCTAACAGGATCTGGAATGTCATATCATAAAAATCCTCCACCAGTGCAGAGCTCCAGATAAGCTTTTGGTGTTGTGGGTATTTCACCCATTCATTTTAAAATCATTGGTTATCAGTAATTCTATCTGGGTATTCAAATTTCTGTTACCCACAAGTTTTTACACATGTGGGTTTTTAAGTTAAATATTTAAAAACACTTTTCATCTAGTCCCTGCAAAGGGGTGTCGTGTGGGTTCGAGTGCTTTATAGGCCTTGAAAATACCATGATACTTCCACAAGAAAGTGTGATGGCAAATGATCATGATGTAACTGTCATCGTGGAGTTTGGCAAGATTGACGGAATGCCCGTTTATAATTTCAAAATAAGTTGCTGATTTGCTAATCGAATAAGCAGGGTTACTTCACAATATTTTGATGATACGCACAAGTTTTATTTTTGTAGCGTATCTGTAATGTTCGTTGCGTATTTGATATGCTTGGATTTTATTTTACTGCGCATTTCTGCATTTCTGATGCGTATTTTGCGCAGATACGCAGCTTATCTGGAGCTCTGCCAGTGTATGACAATAACCATGACAACGTACAATGAACAGTTGCTGCAGCATGATCTCCACCAGCTTGTGTCGCTGCATGTTGTCCCCGAACTGCTGCAGCGACTTGATGGCATTCAGCTGCAGTGACCGGTGTTCTGCAAACAGCTTCTTGACTGATAATCTGGTTAGGGAGGATAACTGAAAACTATTTCCTGTCATCATCCCAAATATGTCTTCAGGGAATATATGTGCATGTATTACATCAATAAAACAAAACTCAAGAAAGACCTAAGAACATTATTGCTTCAAAGCAAATCTTCGAATAAACATCTTACGAAAATTGTGAAGGTTAGACATGTCCACTAAATATCATTCTATTTCTAACTTATTTAAATAATGATTCTATCACCTTCTCAGTAACATGACTATGGTCATGCCATACAAATGTATCTAAGAGTACTGAAAAGCATGGTTTAAATCTCACTCTGTCAATGAGCTATTGGCTTAAATAATGCTTAAAAGCTCCTAACTTGTTCTTTGATTGAATAGGAAAATAATAAAAAAGCATACACAATTTGGGTAACTATTAACTTTTTAAATAGTAATTGATCACATGGATTGACTAAGAAAGCAGAGAAGAGTATTGTAACAGAAGAACCTTGTGCACAATTGATTTACAAAGCATAGTACTCTATGACCCATGTCTCTCTGAGGAGTCTGCAGGGTCCTCTTCAACAAGGCAATCTTAGTGCTACGACAATCGTGTGTCTATGTTAAAGTATTGGAGAAACTTGGAGAAGAAGATTAAGAGGTCCCTGTACCCATGTTTGCCTCAAAACAAAATCTAATGGGGAGTGGGTCTTTCAGTATGATCTATGAGGGGTGTTCATTAAAGATTTCCCCTAAACCACTTAGGGTTATCATATATTTTGTTGAAATTTCACATGTGTAATGATACATGTATCTATGGGTTATGTCTGAATTTGCAGCACCGAACTATTAATCTTACCACTTTTACAGGTGTTATGATCGAGTAGGGTGTGACAATGGAGCCAGTAGAATACCGAGCAGTGATTAGATTTTTATATTTGAAAGGTTGCACACCAAAAGAAACTTTCGATGAAATGAAAGCAACTTATGGGGAAGATGCCCCATCATATGACGTTGTTAAACACTGGCATCGCAAGTTCAAGTGTGGTCGGACATCTGTGGAAACAGCTGCCATTCCTGGTCGCCCCCATTCAGCCATTGATGAGGACACTATCCATCAAGTGGAGACCGCCATTTTGGCAGACCGACGTATAACTGTTCGCCAGTTGGCACAAGATGTCAAGATCAATGTAGGGTCTGTGGAAAAAATCATCCATGACAATTTGAACATGCATAAGGTGTCTGCACGATGGATTCCCAGGTTGCTCACACCTTTCCAAAAGCAGGAACGAGTCAATTGCTCAAAGGATCTTTTGGACATGTGCCAAAAAAACCAGGCAAACTTTTTTGACAGACTTATCACACAGGATGAAACATGGGTCCATCACTATGATCCTGAGACTAAAGTTCAGCTGATGCAATGGAAGCACGTGGAGTCACCACCCCCAAAGAAGGCACATGTCCAACCCTCTGCAGGCAAGGTCATGCTCACAGTGTTTTGGGACCAGCACGGAGTAGTGATGATGGATTTCTTGGCAAAGGGTACCACAATTACAGGAGCTTATTATGCTTTACTGCTGCGGAAATTGCGGGACGCTATCAAGCTTAAGAGGCGTCCGTCTCCTGCAAGACAATGCTCCAGTACACAACTCTCATGTTGCCCAGACAGAAGCGCGGTCCTGTGGCTATGAAATCCTTCCACATCCTCCTTACTCTCCTGACCTTGCACCATCTGACTTCCACCTCTTTCCAACCATGAAGTCATTTTAGAAGGGAAAACGTTTCACAGATGATGAAACACTGATTTCTGAAGTCAAGTCCTGGTTTGAGACGCAAAATGAGGTCTCCATAGTTGCATAAAACGATGGGAGAAGTGTGTAACTCTTGGTGGTTCCTATGTCGAGAAAGACTAATACCTATGCCAAGTTTCATTCCACTAGGTCCATCGGAAGTGGGTCAGGGGAAATCTTTAATTAACACCCCTCATAGTTGATTGTGTGCCATTGTGCCTGATGACTGATCGCTGGTTATGCTATTCACATTTTTTTTCTAGTAGAGTTCTTACAGGTCTCTACAATGTTAGCTATAGTATTGCTGATGATTGGAGCACAATCAAAATAAAGAGGCCAAGGTCCCATGATCCCTGATGGGGGGGTTGAAACTTCACAATAATACAATAATATTAGCAATTCTCCCTACAAGGCATAAGAGAATTCCAATCACAATGACAGAGACTTGCTTATTCCTTGGCCTATAATAATCATTGTTAATCTCACTACTGGGTTCTTGGCCACAAGAACTAATGTCATTATCTATGTTGGAATAATCAGTAAGTCAGCGATAGAAACTAACAGTTTTAGTCCACTAGTCCTTATAATGATAACATATAGCAAAACCCTTATAAGGGGAAAATTCTGCTAGTCCTTAACTATTGGGCAGTTTGGCAAGGACTATGAACTATAGTGCCAATTTATAAGACTGTAAGTCGAACTAAAGAAGAAACTGATACATAGGTTCTGCATTCCAAGCTGCTGTTCAAAGACTATTTTTCATATTAAGTCAAAGTTGTTAAATGTACAAGCATGACACATAATCCTATATCTATCATTAATAATGTTAATGTCAACAATGTTAATTAAAAAAAAGCCATACATATTTTCATTTAGAAAAAAATGTTTAGGGTCATAAGTCATCTATCAGGTTACTTTAGACATTTACGAGAAAAACATACATTCACCATTTGATGACACACTCACTCATCATCATGATAATAGTTAATAGGCAACATCATATCACACTGAGTTAGTTGGTAGTTATTCGGTCAAAACGGACCAATTTCGTATTTCTGCTACTAAAAAGGATGATATATAACACACATAGCCATATCTGCAAATAACACACAGAGGATACATCTGTCAAATGGGGAGATTTTCCCTGTGACAATATCACCACTCTCATCGTCTGCTTGATCTCCGCTTGGCTTGGCTGCGTCCCCTGCTCGTGCTGTGGTCGATTTCCCTGTGTCGTCCCCAAAAGTCGTGCAAACGTACAACAATACCATAAGAACTAATGCAGAACGTAAATGGTGAAAATAGAACATCTTGACAGTAGCGAACACAACAGAAAACACCAGAAAGCTAGGCTGGCACCCTCATTGTTGTCATCACACAATTAACACGTGGATAACCCGGGGATTCCCTTCCGCTTTTGAAAGCGAGACCGGAACAGAACCACGCGCATGTTCAAAAGGAATTCCCTCACGATGGCTGACGTGGAATTCCTCACTGATCAAGTAAATATGGTTTTGACCGTTCAATTACACAGTTTTATGATTTTATTTCATTTGATTACTTTTCCACGCACCGTTTCTTTACTATTTTAAAATGGATACAGGTGAGAAAGGAAGAATCAGTTGTTGAGGGATCATTGATGATGTTCATGGTTGATCGGATGATTTGTCGTGGATGTTGAATAGTATTTATATTTCATTGAGATTTTAAAACAGAACTTTACCATTTCACCCTCAAGTCAATATAGAATCTAATATGAATGGTGATTTTGCCTTGACTTGTCGACAATTTAATTAACTGACATTGTGAAGCTAAGCTAGGCTAATGAGTTAATCGTCCTAACTGATACAGCTAAAGCTAAGAACCAAAAGTAGGTACCTAAACCTAAGGATCACTAAGGGGTTCCCAAACCCTAACGATTGTGAAGGGGATAAGCACTGTGTTAGAAAGGAAAGGGGTCTTCCTAACCTTAATGATCATAAACTGATGAAGGGCTGCTTGATCGGAAATGGTATATGAGTGAGTGATTATGGTTTTACTCCGTGTTTAGCAATATTCCAGCAATATCACGGCAGGGGACACCAGAAATGGGCTTCACACACTGTACCCATGTCGGGAAACAAACCTGGGTCTTCGGCGTGACGAGTGAATGCTTGAACCACTAGGCTACCCGACCGCCCCCAGAAATGGGATATAGGCCTAAGGATAATGTTCGGGGCAACTTACCTGGGAGTAGTGCACTTTACCAGGCACACTTTTTCAGATCACGCTTCTCCAAGTCGGCTAATTGATGCGTCTCTACAAGCTGTGTGACTGAGTGTAGTTATTTGTTTACCAAAGATTCACGTTAAGTGAAATTATTCAAGAATGAGCACACGTTAAAACTGATTTCAACTCATGATACCAAACAAAACATGGTGCCACTTTCCATCAAGTTATATGTTTGTAACCAGTGACTGGAGGGACTTTTCTTGTGTTTCAGGAAGTAGATATACCCCTGGAGGGAGACATAACAGTGCCCGGAATTGCCAAGTCAGATGATGAGTTATCTACCTTGGATGAACCTGTCAAGGAAACCATTGTACGTGTGATATATTCAGTACCATGATTCACAGGAAGAATATGGGCAGTGTCTGATAATTGTGGGATTTAATTGCACACCCGTGAAGATCAGGGGTAGAATAGGTCTTCAGCAACCCATGCTTGTCTCCTCACGTGAAGATCCAGGTTAGAATAGGTCTTCAGCAACCCATGCTTGCCATGAAAGGCGACTATGCTTGTCGTAAGAGGCGACTGACTGAACCTGGTGGTCAGGCTCCCTGACATGGTTGATGCATGTCATCGTATCCCAATTGCGTGCATCGATGCTCATAATGTCAATCACTGGATTGTCTGGTCCAGACTTGATTATTTACGGACCATGGTTAATGTCTAGAACCTACTTTCTTCCCACATCAAGATATAACTAAAATAGAGCTGTAACTGTCATTGGACCCATTTGACACACACTTGTAAGAAACAACCAGGGGCAGATAACTCCAAATTCCTCTTGAAACTGCTTTTCAACTCTGGCCATGACAGAAGTGAGTGAGTGAGTTGGGTTTAACGCCGCTTTTAACATTTTTCCAGTTATATCACGGCGTGTCAGCTTAATGTGGGAGGAAAGCCCGAAGTGATGCAAGTCTTAGACGTTTACCACTTCGGTGAAACTCACGAGCACGGGTATGGTGCTGACAAACCTAGAAACATAATCGGGGTGAACCCGGATTCGAACCCACAATCATATAGGTTTCTGGCGTGTCCAGGGGACGCAACTCTGCACAGCGAATCGCGGCGCCTTAGACGACTGCGCCACCCGTGCCCCCTCATGACAGAACCTGGTGTTGTTTTTACTGCCACTGACAATTACAACAGTTCTTTTATCCACAGCCTAGAGTGTAGTAGGTAGAATGCATGAAGTTCTTATGTCTTGATATTTCACTGCAGAAAAGGGACCTAACTGCTGTGGGGAAGAAGTTCTTCCATGTTCTGTATCCAAGGACAAGTTTTGTTCTGCTGAAAGAATGTAAGTTGTTACCATGGTTACACAGCATTGCTTACTTCCTCTGTTTGAGTTTTGGAGATTGTAAATAGTCACAAATTGTTGGCACTTTTACTGAGACTAGAAATATGAAATAAGTAGGCCGTGGTAGGTTTGGGATGATACACGAAATGAGATACATACCAGTACCATGATACAGAACATACATGACAATAGACCCGGGAAGATACGGGGTAGAATAGGTCTTCAGCAACCCAAGCTTGCCGTAAAAGGCGACTATGCTTGTCGTAAGAGGCAACTAATTGGATCGGGTGGTCCGGTTCACTGACTTGGTCATAGTATCCCAATCATGCCAATTGCATGGATTGATGCTCATGATATCAATCACTGCATGGGCGGATACAGAGGGGGCTGCGGAGGTGCGCACCCCCCCTTTTTATTTCGAAAAAAAACTTTCTTTCTGTATAAATTACCACCAAAGACAATAAATAGATCTTAATTGTGCACCCCCCCTTTTAAAAAAAAGCTGTATCCGCCCATGCACTGGATTGTCTGGTCAGACTTGGTATTTACAAACTGCAGTCATATAGCTGGAATATTGCTGAGTGCTGCGTTAACCAACAAACAAATCATTTGACAAATGATGGCGATTTAACAAACATGATGACAAACAAACAAATGCTGAATATCTGATGTGCACATTCACACTATGAACCACGCACTAATTATTGCATAACAGATCATTACTTGTCCGGGTTTCCCTCAGGTTCAATGTTCTCCCATATGTTACTTAGCAACCTGAGTATTATGCATAAAAATTTGAAACATGTTGCATAATTTTAAGAATATTACTTTTTTTTCAATTATTAGTTTTATGAATCACTGTTGAGGTCTACATACTATCTTCACTGAGATATTGCTTAATTGTACATTTATCCCACAAATGAACCTCCTCAGTTCTCCAGTGGGAGCGGTGTGTTAGCCTAGTGGTTAAAACGTTTGCCTGGCACACCGAAGACCTGGGTTCAATTCCCCACATGGGTACAATGTGTGAAGCCCATTTCTGGTGTCCTGCCGTGATATTGCTGGAATATTGCAAAGGGCGGCGTAAAACATCACTCACTCAGTTCTCCAGGGTGAACCCTGTAGGGATCGGTCTGATGAACACTGACGAGGTTCAGTGATTGCATGCTGGGTAGAACGTTGTAATTAGCATGATGAAGATTAGTCCACAGCATCATCAGGTCATTTTTTCTGTTGTATGTACTAGGGCTGTTACGATTCACTCGCATATTCGGTGAATCGAACCGTATCCATTCATGAATTGAATTTGTTATTCGTGGCCACTAGAATGGAATATTTATGTTCAAGCATGTGCACTTACATACCCTGTACCTAAAAATATTCATAAGAACATGTTATATGCCTAGATTTCTTCAAAGACAACACTCTTATAATAATTAATTTAACAGTATTGTGGTCACTGGTCATTGTCACATTTGAGCAGATACTAGTACCTAGATAAGTCAAGTATATAAATGTATAATGTATTAATAATTAACAAACCATGTCAAATAATTTATGTTGTTAATGTTTTACTGAATATAACAAATAATACATTCACTGCTGACTTATTATTGTATTCGTGAATTAATATTCATATTCGTTACCCTATTTTAGTGATACGAATCGTATTGGCCTCATAGTGTATTCGTTGCAGCCCTAGTATGTACTATATGTTTCTACATGTTTACGCCTGTGTTGATATAAATTCTCCGGTCTAGCTCTGTTCTCCGTCTTTCAGGGGATCTCTGGGGGCCGCTCATCCTGTGTGTCTTCATGGCAATGTGAGTGTGTTTGTTGTTTGGCGCCGCATGCGGCAGTATTCCTGCTACGTGATAAAGGCAGATCGTAACTGTCCAAGTCTGGACCAGACAATCCAGTGGTTTGTGGTGTGGGGTGGGGTGTTGGGTGTGGTGTGGGGTAGGGTGTAGGGTGTGGGGTGTGGTGTGGGGTAGGAGGGTAACAGTAGTAGAGGTGAAATGATACACTGGTGTATCGTGAGTTTTCAGGCGCCTATACGATACACAACTCATTTTGTTCTGTATCGATACAAGACGGTGTACTTGCTAAAATACATTACTGCTTGTTTAATGAAGCCCCAGCGTTTTTTCAGTCAAAAATCGCAAAATATGTTGTTATTAAGTTCACTACTAAAAAGATCCGCAACAAACAAGTGTCTACAGCCAGCTTTTCGTTTTGAACCTGCTCTGAAATATTTATAGTCAAGATGTTTCCACACAATTTGACGTAAATATGCATATCGTGATATGTATCATGACCCTTGTCTCAAGATATGTATCATATCATGTCCTTATATCGTTACACCCCTAGTCAGTAGGTCTTGTCCTCCACTAGGGCTGTATTCGTGGATGGTGTACTGGTGAATCTATTGTTTGTGTGATGTACTTGGCTCTAGGGTAACCTAAAGTGTGCATTGTTTCAACAAGAAGGTCTTCCTAGGGTTGTTGGGTAGCCCAGTGTGTTAAAGTGTTCAAGTAGCACCGAAAGCCTCAGTTTTAATTGCCTGTTTGGGGGCAATTTTGTGAAGACTATTTCTGTCCTCGTAAACATGGTAAAGATTTTCCTGGAATATTTCTAAACAAATATGCTGAATATGTCATAAAAGTGTACTCACTCACGTCCATGTTATCAAGGATGTATGGTTATATTGAAGAGCAACATCATTTACATTAGATGCAGTAAGCGAAACAATAATTTTTTAGGGTTTCAGCTTAATTTCTTTTAGATCAGATGGCAAAATTGATCATAATAGAAATTTTCCACTCATTTATCCATATAGTGCAGATGTACATGTCACTATTTCAAAGGGAAGCAACTGTAAATGGTTTTGTATTTAATTACTGAAATATCTGTGAAAACAGGGGCCTAACACCATTAATTGTAAGCATGGTTAGTCGTTACAAACCAAATACATTTTACATTCCCGAGTTAGTGATTTCCAGTAATATTGTCAGTGTCATGATTCTCATGGTAAATTGGACAGACATGACGTGAGTAGATAGGCACAATTTTATGGATAACAACTTCTTTAATACTGTTAAAAGCGACGTTTCAGTATAGATCCTTATACCATTGTCAAGCAAGACAGTCTTGCTTGACAACGGTATAAGGATCTATTCCAAAACGTCGCTTTTCACAGCATTAAAGAAGTTGTTATCCATAAAATTGTGTCTATCTTGTCATCCGTCAACTTCTAAGTAATGCCTATCAAACAATTTATGACGTGAGTACTGTGGATGATGTCTGATGCTGATGCTGTTGCTGTTGTGTGTCAGGATGCTGCAGGGAGATGAGAAGGTGGACAGCATGAAGGATGGGAGTCCTCAGTTTGCAGAGGTGTTCGTCATCTACTGGACGGGCGCCTTCGTCGTCACCCTCAACACCAAGCTTCTCGGCGGCAACATGTAAGTGAGGCGACGTGGACCGACCTCATTGGTCTGGATCTTTCCAATTAGAGGTCAAAGGCTTATGAAGCACACCTGCAGGCCTCACTCCAGCAATTTTCTGACATGTCCCCTTTATCTTAAAATTTTAAATATTCCAGAGGTACACCCACACTTGCCTCTACAGCACAATGCTAAAATTCCCCATTGTCTTTGAAAATGTGGGCCTTTATTCAAATTTAGGGGCTAAAAGCTCAAGGCCCACCCTAGAATTATCTCTGCCCCTGGAGATTGCAAGAACATTTCTAAAATGGAGTAGTTAGTTACACAATTCCCGTGGTCACATGAAGCTTATTGATCTGTTACACAGTAACATTGTCAATCAATAATCATCCCTTGACTTTACCATGGTTTCATGTCATTGTAAGTTACTGACAAATATTTAAAATCTTGGAAACTGAATTTTGGTTGGTTGGTCAAATGTACCATTGTTAAGTGTCTTGTAGACTGCGACTATTTCCAGTTACCATGGTTACAGGACTGACATTGTGTGTTGCAGCTCCTTCTTCCAGAGCGTGTGTGTGTTGGGCTACTGTGTGCTGCCGCTGTGCATCTCTCTCGTCGTGTGTCGGATCATCTTGGTTTTCGGTTCAGAGTCAACAGGACTTTTTATCACCCGGTTCATCTTTGTACTTGCAGGCTTTGGCTGGTCCACATTTGGTAAGTCCTTAACAGAAGAAATGAATCCCAGACTGGTTCTTGTTGTGTATCTAGGTTTGTAGGCTCCATACCTGTTCCGGTGTGTTTCACCAAAGTAGTCTATGCCGCTCACTCACTCGCTCACTCACTCACTCCACTCACTCCACCCCAGCCCACCCCACCCCACCCCACCCCACCCCACCCCACTCACCCACCCCTCACTCCACTCCACTCACTCCACTCCACTCCGCTCACTCACTCACTCACTCACTCACCCACTCACTCACTTACCCACCCACCCACGCTCACTCACTCACTCACCCACACACCCACACACTCACCCACTCACACACCCACCCACTCACCCACCCACTCACCCACTCACTCACTCACTCACTCACTCACTCACTCACTCACTCAGGGATAGCTAATTTATGACTAAGCATGGAGACCCAGGATATGGTCTCCCTTCCCGATTTCTATTGTGTACATCTATATAGCATGTATAATCGCAAAGGAAGGAATGGTACTATTTGTCCTCAGTCATTAGAAGCAATTAAATGGTCAGTTGTTTGATTGTTTGTCATTGGACCCTGGTCATGTGGGATGGTGATCATACCATCAACCACTGGTTTGTTGGGCACAGACCCAGATTATTTACATATGGTTATATGTTTTATCTTGTAACCATGGTAACTAGTGGGGGGTTTGTGGAGCTGATGTGTATATGTGTTAATGTACAATGTTAAAGTACAGTGTTAATCCACAATGTTAATGTTTAATGTACAATGCTAATCTATAATGTAATGTTTATTGTACAGTGTTAATCTACAATGTTAATGTATAGTGTTAATCACCCACCCACTCACCAACCCACTCATTCTCTCTCTCTCTCTCTCTCTCCACAGCCTCCACTGCGTTCCTGGGGTCCAGTCAGCCTCCCAAGAGAAAGGCGTTGGCTGTATACCCACTTTTCCTCTTCTACTTCATCATCAGCTGGCTCATCATCTCACACAAAGTCTGATAGGGGGCACCACTCACGCTACGCCAGAGTATTTATATTGTGGGACTCAAGTGTGCAACGTGATGAAACTGTTTTTGGTGTAGCAATATATGCATCTTTGTCTGCAAGTGCGAGAGTGTGTGTACGAGGTCTGATTGGTTAAGAATGTCAGGATTGTTTGCGTGTGAGAGCGTGAGAGAAAACAATGAGAGATGACATTCTTCTATACATATGTACAGACAGTTTCAAGTTTCTTTGTGATTTATTGTTACCACTTTTGCCACTTATATAGCAATGTATATCATGTGTTTTGAGCTCAGTGGTTATCGGGGTGAATATTCAATAGCACTTTGATTTGGTCAGCCAGTGACCTGCAGACTCTGGACACATCCTGAATCTCCATCTGGTCCCGCTGCCAACTTCTTCTGTGGCTTAAAACAAGATTCAGTACATCTTCCTGAGGCAAGGGAGTTAACTGACTATAAAAGTCCAGTTACCACCCTTGCTGAACTAGGCTGGAATTCCAGAGTTACGTTTTGGCTAGACTAAAGAGTCTATGCATAGTCCAACTAAAATTGTGTAACGAACTAGACATCTGGTCCATAAACAAAATGAATTTCAACATGCTGAATTTGGTCGACTGCAGGATTTGCTAAGCATGTGTACCGCCAAGAGGGCGTCAACAGATATTTTGCAAATCTTTTCATGTTTTGAATCAAGGTGCTCAAATGATGTGAAGCCGTTCGTGGGATAAGACCTGTTTTATTACATTATAGATCATGATTATCGATAGATTATTTTAACTGAGCGACGCCATTTTGTTCAAAGCAAATGCAAGTGATATAAGAGATGGATTCTGATTGGTCAGTAGGAGGGATTTAGAAGGGACATTGTAATAGCCACTGGTGTCACTATTATCGAGCCAGAAATTTCAGCCTAATTCGGCAAGGGAGGAAACTGGACTTTTAGAGTCAGTTAAATCACTTGCCTTTGGGAACGTGGACGGGGTGTATAGAGGGGTACTGCAGTGTTGGTGGAGTTGGTGAGGGGAATGGGGTGTATCGAGGGGTACTGCAGTGTTTGGGGGGATGGGGTGTATCGAGGGGTAGTGCAGTGTTTGTGGAGTTGGGGAGGGGGGATGGGAAGGAGCATTGTTATACCACCATGTCTTCACTTGGCCAGTGGGTCTGGGTAGCTTTACATTCTTTACCTATGTTTCACAAGTTCGCTCACTGTTGACTGAAAAACAGTTTTAAGGACTTGTACAAGCAAGAAGTTTATTGCAATGACACCTTTTCCCCGTAGTTAATTCAAAGTTCATATAACATTTTAACAGTTCTACATTTAGTGAAATATTCTTTGCTGTTCTGTTCTGTGTTTCGACTGTCATGTCTCTATTACTGTTGTGGGGAGGACGGGTGGCCCAGTCGCCTAAGGGTCTGCGATTCGCTGTGCAGAGTTGCATCCCTTGGGCATGCCAGAAACCTATGGTTGTGGGTTCGAATCCCGGTTCACCCCAATTATGTTTCAAGGTTTGTCAGCGCCATACCCGTGCTTATGGGTTTCACCGAAGTGGTAAACGTCTGAGACTTGCATCACTTCGGGCTTTCCTCCCACATCAATCTGACATGCCGTAATCATAATGTTAAAAGTGGCGTTAAACCCAACTCACTCACTCACTATTACTGTTGTAGTTTAACCTACTTTCATTAGGAGTTCAAAACCCTCTTTTACAATGATCTTTTAAAAATCTCCAGTTACAGTAGCAGATACACACTTGCTGCAGCTAACCTTCTCTGTCTGATGAGAATGTAAATAAGAAAAACTTTTGTAGTTTGGCTACAAGTTAAAGCTTGTTGGCAACTATAAGAGTGAAGGGCTTGTGCCAGTGCTGCTATGAATGTTTTCAGTGTAGGTGAAGCGAAATCTGTGTATGGCTTTATTACGTTCATGGACCAATGTGTTTTATCATGCAATGCACATGACTTTGCTTGTTGTATGATTTGTTATAGCATCATGAGCTTATTAATCAGTATCTAATGCTAATTTACACATGACAATACGATACATGACATGCCCACTCATGTTTTTATTCCATATCAAATTTAAAAAATATTACTTCCAAAGTTTTGCTAAACCTGATTGCATAATGCTGTAAGGATGAGTCTGAATAACACGAACTGGTTGAGGCCACCTGCATGGTCAAGTCTGCCCAGAGAGGTGGTCAGCGGTTCGATCCTCTCCGCGTCATACCCAAACTTGAAAGATGGTACTTGTTGTTACCCTGCCTGGCCCTCAGTATTAAGGGGATGAAAGAAGAACTGGTCGGCTCTGAGTCAGTATACTGTGAGGTATCGAATGTTTAACTGTGGGGTGGCAACTGAGTGGACTAGTATAAGTGTGTGCACGCACACACACACACACACACACACACACACACATCGTATAAATGCAATAATCATTTATAATGTTGTTAAACCCCATTTCACCTGTCAAAGAGATTGAAAAGTAAGAATCTCTTCACGTGGCCAGATGGCACATTTAGAATTCCATGCAAAGACTATGCACAGTAAGAAGTGCAGTGCATATAGTGTTGTGACTCGAGCACCATGGTGTGTATCACTACATGATGGGTGTGACTACAGGGCTTATTTCATGGGGGTAGCTGCTGCTAGGGGGCTGTACATTGGGGAAGCAGGGTAATGATGTGAGGGAGGACGAGGAACTACTGGCATCTCTGATAAAGACTGATTCATTTCCGACCAAGATGACAAGTATGTACATGACAGATGTCAAGTTCCAAGTTTTGTCCTTAATCTAAAATTACTAGTACTTAAAATAATATTTCCAGTGAAAGTTAATTCTAGAGTACACTGGGACAGTGACATCTTATCTCTAACATCAGCTGTCCATATGGTTTTTTTTATGTATGAAGCATCAGCATCCCGGCAACTACAGAAAACCTGGCATGCCTTGAGTTGTTCCTGGGAGGCAACCAAGTTCACGGTGTATGTGCATCTGTGAGAAGTTGTACAGTCTGATGTTCTCATCCAGTCACATAAGTGTTAATGGAATCAGGAGAGCAGGACACTTCCTATCTCTCTCCCATCTACAGAATAGGTGCCCAGCCACAAGGTCCAGTGATCCGTTCAACAAAGCAATCTTTGCACCATGACTATTGTAAGGCAATTTGAAAGGATGGGACTTACAATCATCTAGCGCTAAGATCATTTTGTAGAACAGAGCCCAGGTTCACGAGGTCCCCAGCCACGAGGTCCCCAGCCAAAGGGTTGACTTAAATTGGGACCTGGGCCCACTTGCACAAAGTGATCTTAGCACTAAGACAATCATAAGCCTATGTTAAAGTATGGGAGTTACGATCATCTTAGCGCTGAGATCTCTGGTTGCTTGACCCGCCTTTATGTTTACAGGCCACACTGATATTGCTGGCATGTTGCGGACTTCAGAGTAAAACAACACTCACTCACTCACTCACGCTAACGTGTGGACAGAAATTTAGAAGTCAGTAGAGAAAACAAATGAATTTAGACACACATACTCAAAAACAGTTTCTTAAGATTCTTAAGCTCAAAACACACCACAATGGTCTGTATTACATGAGGTAAACTTGTTGGGGGTATCTCTTTTAATAATTGAATATACTTTCTTTCTGTCTGTGATAAACAGCTGATATGCTATCAGTCCAGGTGTTGTCTTTTGTGTGCTGTAATTGGTTGTTATGTATATATTTTGATTAATGATGTTTATTTATGAACAATTATATCCACAAAGAGGGAATAAACAAATTTATATACAACCAAGTATTATTGTGATGTTGACAGTAGTCGGTGATGGAGATAGTCATTGCTGTACCAGCCCAGTATGAAGAGGAGGAGTCACTGCATAGCAACAGGAGGAGGACTCCTTCACATCACCTGTACATTCTGCATCAGACCCGGGAAAATCTGGGGTAGAACAGGTCTTCAGCAACCCATGCTTGTCCCCTGTGAAAATCCGGGGTAGAACAGGTCTTCAGCAACCCATGCTTGTCCCCTGTGAAAATCCGGGGTAGAATAGGTCTTCAGCAACCCATGCTTGTCCCCTGTGAAGATCCGGGGTAGAATAGGTCTTCAGCAACCCATGCTTGTCCCCTGTGAAGATCCGGGGTAGAATAGGTCTTCAGCAACCCATGCTTTTCCCCTGTGAAGATCCGGGGTAGAATAGGTCTTCAGCAACCCATGCTTTTCCCCTGTGAAAATCCGGGGTAGAATAGGTCTTCAGCAACCCATGCTTGTCCCCTGTGAAGATCCGGGGTAGAATAGATCTTCAGCAACCCATGTTTGTCCCTCGTGAAAATACGGGGTAGAACAGGTCTTCAGCAACCCATGCTTGTTCCCCCTGAAGATCTGGGGTACAATAGGTCTTCAGCAACCTATACTTGCCATAAGAGGCGACTAACAGAATTGGGTGGTCAGGATCACTGACCTAGTTGATGCATGTCATCTTATCCCAATTGCGTATATCGATGCTCATGATGTCAATCACTAGATTGTCGGTCCAGACTCGATTATTTACAGACCACCGTCATATAGCTGGAATATTGCTCAGTGTGGCATTAATCAACAATCTACACTTGCGTAACCCTACCCAATACACCTACCTCACCCTACACACACCTCACCCTACACACACCTCACCCTACACACAACCACCTCACCCCATCAAACACCATGCGCGTAATTTGGTTGTGGATTTCTGAAATGTTGCATCCGAATATGGATGTGGAATCGCCTTCCGCGTCATTGCGTAGGTATTGATCGAAGCACCAGTAAAATATGTTTGTCTTGCCAGGCTCGTAGTGCAACTCGTTGATGGAAAGTTGTGATTCTATGTATATCATAGTCATGTGAAAAATGGCGATAAAGATTTGGATTTACAACAGGAACAGTTTTCATCAATGTCACTGCTATGTATTGAACAGATGTATATCCCTTTACCAACTGACCAGACAATTATTTCAACAACCTTGACAACTTATTTGTTCACGCAGCCAACTAACTAACATCAACTCGTACAGTTTTTGGTTTTTGAAATATATGAGAACATACTTCATCACACAAAGGTTAAAAAATTGATACAATTATATAAATAGTCTCATAGAACTAAAATTGGCCCATTATGAACGGCCATTTTCACGCTGAAAAGCACCTAGTAGTCGCTAGTAAAGTAAAGATAAAAATATCGAAATTTTTATTGAGTGTCGTAAAATAAATACTATAATGATTGTGTCCCGGAAGCCTTTCGGTGCATGTGAATAAAGACACATTTTATAATGTCCAGCGAGAAAGTGGTAGTTGCTACCTACCAACTTCCGGTTTGGCATGGACAGTGCATACCCCCTGTGGTCGACAATCACTTGCTTGTCGATTGTTTACAGACCACCGTCATGTAGCTGGAATATTGATGAGTGCCGCGTTAAACAACAAACAAACAAACAAACAACCCACGAGAGAAGGTCGCGTCAGGTGAATGCTTAGGGATATTGTCTGTCCGATCTAAATAAGGATGCGTGGGTTCTTTTCCAACCAGATGCAGGCTTTCTAAAACGATACGGCTTCTTGTCTTTACCACATCGGTTTGGGAATTTCGATCTTAGCAAAAGACAACAACAACACAGATATACCCTAGGTTGTCCGCCATTTTGGATGGAGAAGGCTCTCAGGAACAACAGTATACTGCGGGTCTTATTTATCTACATTCTGTGTGTGTGTGTGTGTGTGTGTGTGTGTGTGTGTGTGTGTGTGCTGGGTTTAACGCCGTTTTTAACATTATTCCAGGTATATCACGGCGTGTCAGCTTAATGTGGGAGGAATGCCCGAAGTGATGCAGGTCTCAGAAGTTTACCACTTCGGTGAAACCCACGAGCACGGGTTTTCGGAGCGAACGGGGATTCGAACCCACACTCATAGGTTTCTGGCGTGCCCAGGGGACGCAACACTGCACAGCAAATCGCGGCGCCTTAGACGACTGTGCCATCCGTGCCCCCCTATCTACATTCGGAACTTATCGATACAACTTGTTTTCAAGATACAGACATCAGGTATGCTTGTTTAAATGCTTCGCTCACTCGTATCGATAATTTAGAAGCCTCGATGCTGATGAGAAGGCCAAGTTCACCTGACACGATCTTGTGTCGAGTTGTTCAGATCGGAGTAACAGATCTCATTGAACAACGAACAAAACAAAAACAACTTATGTGGCCAAAATCCGAATAAACTATAAATTAACAATTAATAATTACTTAACTCGAACTCCATTGTTCCCACGTTGGCACTCGAACTCGAGTCAGAGAGTCTGGTGGCCCAGTCAAGGCTTTGTAATTCGCCTTCAGACATGATCGATATTACCAGTTGAGCATTCGTGTACACCCCATGACCTTACGTCTCGTCGTGTGCAGGCTCATTCAGCTCGTAAAATCTGCTTTAACATGCTTTTGGGTGTGGATTTGGTGCATTATAAACATACACATTAATATTAT